AGTATATCTAATCTATTTACAGTTACAAAGTGTCAGTAGGCGATTTTTAATTCTTGGTTTGGTTCTTTGCATGTAGCATTAACTTATCCACTGCAAAGGGCTGGAATTACGATTGGGCTAGATGGATACAAGAAATGACTTTTAGGTTTCTATTTCTGAATGTGCATATTTTCCAAGTGGTGACTTTCATTTCAACTTAAGTGAAATGGTAGATAATTGCGAAGTCAGCACATTCATGTCATTCCGAGGTGTCGAAGGCCTTGCGTTGTAGCCACTCTAATTACACCCTCATTGTCAGCTTTTGCTTAATTTCATATTTGAATCAGATCGGTAGCGTTCTACAATATATCTTTCCTGAGTTGTCAAACCATTTTGTGATGTAATTTTTGTAAAGAAAGGAAACAGATCTAGTTTTAGTGGCTTCTTGAATCATTAGTGCAATGGAAAAGACATGACTTCTACGGCAGGAGTCAAAATTACCTTTTTGTGCTGAGTCTCTCGAAAGTATAATTAGTGGTGACCACTAAGGAGGAGCTGAAATCTAGAGGCAGACACTAGTATGGGGTAGTTGACACGGAAAAGTTGAGTCGGCCTGTATAATGGACTTCACAGAGGTAGAGGAATCACCTAAATGGAAGGCCTCTCTCCTCCTTTGTGTATGTGTACATGCTGCACAAGGTCAAATAAGAAATTAACATGGAAGTTTCCTCACTGTTTTCAAGGTCATCCAAATTTTACGCACAAACATGCACTATATGCATCCTTGATTGTCACTTTTTGTGGCGTTTTTACTGGAACATGCCTTTTTTGCATGACAGTGCAGAAGAAATCCCGTCTGTTAACACACCTATGGTGAGGCTGATTTTTGGCTTTCATCACCCCTCAGGGCATCAAGTCCGACCGTGCACACGAAATGAGAGGAGGCACTTTGGAATTCTTTTTATTCCATTGTTTATGCAGCTTCTGTAGTGAAACTCATTGGGATACCTTTTCCATCTTGCAAACGCTTAAAGCGGCATTTTGGTTTTAGCAGAACTTCAGCCCCTACTGTTGCTGATTTTACATCCGTTTTAAGACTAGTGAACCTGCTGCTTCCTTGAGGATCACAGCAGGGCCACTAACCAAGTAACGAAATTTCAAGTCGCTACCATCAAATGATTGTCTTTTTAAATGTTGTAGGCGCATTTCTATGTACCATTTCAAATAGTTCCTCTACACCAAATAAAAGTGAGACGAAACGCGGATCATGCGATGATTCTTCGGCACAGCGAAAAGAGCCCCACATCCAGTGGATGTCATGCATTTCAGGGGAACTTAGGGGGACTCCATCTGACACATCCATCCACGAGAATCTATTGGTTGGGTCTTAGTTCTTCCGTCCGGTAGCAACTGACATCGTTTGACGAGGCATTACGAAGGTACTATAGATTATGCAGCTCAGGATCCATTCACTAATTCGTCCATTCTTGTGTACTGTAGTCGACAGAAACCTAGTCTAAAAGTGATGATAGCAAGTGAGTAAGTAGAGTACTCCCTTCAAAGAGTAAAATGGCAATAATGTGAAGTTGCTGCTGCTTTACCATGCCCAAAGTGAGATTCGGCAGGACCACGTCGAAGTCAGGGTAACCATTCGCTTTAATTGGTTCCGCTCACCGTCACCACCAGTGAGACGGCCCAAACCATCTCTAGAGGTGCTGTAAGATGTATACTTAGTTTGTCATTCGCATACATGTTTGGAGAGGTGAAGAAATAAACACCAGGCCACGGTAAAAGTACACTTGAAAAAAAAGAATTTTCTCTTGGCCCTAAACCAAATCCACCGCGTTGTCCCCTGGAATGAAACTCCCCACTCAAGCCACCTTCTCCATTTATTTTATTTTCATGATGGTGACATGTTGCACCACATTAGCGTGATTATGCCACCTGACTCGCAGCCCTTTAAGGCGCCGATTTTATGCCGTTGCTTGTGATACCTTCAAAGATAACCAGGATTTCGTGTAATCCTAAACCTCGGTATTCTATCCCATTTCGCAACCATAGGACAGCCCAAAGGCAGTTGTAAACGATATTAATTTTAATTGATTTTACCGTGGAAACGCTGGCGTTTCAATTGCTGATTGATGACCACTTAAAACATTAAAGCCCCAAATCCGTGTTGATAATCGTTGGCACGGATGTGGGAGGATACAGTGGAGAGGGACCAGAGAGCGCATCGACCCACATTCACCCAGTAGAAAAAGCGACATGTGACATCGGATTGATGTCATTAAACATGCACAAAAATAGAGGCAAATGAATGAACCGTTTTCAGAAC